CTCGGCCGCAGGCAGGACACCCAGGGCCAGCGACTCCTCCGGGCCTCGGATGGGGGTTGGTGTGTTCTGCTCCCTGCGAGGCCTCGGCTGAGCCAGGGGCACCCGGCTGGCTCCCGCCAGGGCTGGTGGCAGGGCCTCGGCCAGGCTGGGGGATGGCACTGTGGTGGGCTGGGATGAGGGTGCAGGCAGGGCCCCTGATCTCCCGTGCCTGTCCTGCCGTGGGATGCGCTGGAGTCCGGTCCAGGCACCTCGGCTTGGTGCTGAGGGTAAGGGGAGAGATGTGTCTGGGGCTAACATGGAGCACAGCTCCATCCAGCATGACTGGGTGGCAGTGACCCACCCTGCCAGAAGAGGTCCAGGACCCCCACAGGACTGGCACAGTCCTGGGCCCATCCTGTGCTCACCCTGTCCTGGCAGACGTGGCAGCAGGGCTCTCCTGTTGGGATCAGGCAGAGGTGGGAGCTGCTGACAGTCATGTCCACCACCACCACCCTCCTCAGCAGAGGGCTCGGCTGGGGTGGGGTTTGGCTGCCCTTGCCCTGCCTGTCCTCGGGGGTCAGTGTCCTGGGTCACTGACCTGCCACGGGGCCAAGCGGGTCCCAAGGCGCTGCTAGTGAGGGTTTCTCCCTGGCTGGCGCAGAGGGATGGGTGCCAGCAGGGCCACCAGCCAGCCTGGCCGCTGGGGATACCCCACCAACTCCCTGCATGCCTTGTCATCACCCAGGGTGCAATTGGAGGGTGCTGGCCCCTGTCACGCTCTTTGGATGTGACTTTGGGGCACCATGGGGGTAAATGTTCCTTTCCACACCCGGCTTCCTCCCAGGCTGGCAGTTGCCACAGGAGCCGATGTATCTCAGCAGAGATGCTCCAGTTCCAACACTCCTCTTCCCAACCAAAACCCCCCAGTCATGTCACACCCACTCTTGTCAACACACCCTGTGCCGACAGGTCCTGCTGGGACCGGGGCGGCCAGGCTGCCCTGACCCAGCGGTGCCGCTGCCCACACGGCACTGGGCAGTGCCGCCGTCAGGGATGACACTAATTACTGTTTTCCCCTGCACCACGCCAAGGCCAGCCGGCCTCGCCGGGTGGCCCTGACGCAAGTGCTGCCTGCCTGGCTGGCTCTGCCGGCGGGACACGGCACGAGGAAGCGCTCGGGGACAGCCGCGGCCACCCCAGTCACTCCAGAGGAATCTGCCCGTGCCGCCCGGGCCACGCGTGGCACCATCCCCGGCCTCCTCCCACCCTCCGCCGGCGTTCCGGCTCCTCCCGAGGCGGTTTGGCTGCTCGTGAAGCGGCTCTGCTGGTTTTTCTCCTTGCCAGCACCTGAGACGGGGAGCACGGCCGGGTCAAAGGGGCAGGAGCGGGATGGAGGGGCTGGCGAGTGCTCCCGGGAATGCAATAACCAGGCCTGCATTCCTGCGGGGCTGCTGCGGAAACTTTAATTAAATAGGGAGGGGAGCGGGA